AATCAGTAACAGTACTGATTCAGATACTATAGTTAAAAGATTTGTGGTCCTGCTGGCTGATACTGTGCAAACATGGAGAAGCAAAATCAGCAACCCTGAACCACATGGCCTACAGAAGACTTTTACTAAAGCAAAAACAAAATTCACTCACTTTTCATTCATCTCCAGGCACCAAGTCTCTAACTCCATCGAGTCCCCCTGAAGGAAGACAAAGCAAAAAAAAACTAACGAACACAGTTACATTAAAGAGGCTGCATATTTAGTTAATGATGTGGTCTGGCTGGTGTTGCAAATGTGTAAAACAATGATAAATCCCAAAGCCCAGTTTTTACAAAACAAGAAAACAGGATGCAGGTTTTTTGTTTGTTTTTTTTTTTTTACCTCTGATGTCTTCAGAGAGATCTCAACACACATGGAGCGCCCGATGCCTGGAAGCTGGCCAGCCAGTGCCTTTTTGGCTTCATGGGTAACCTCTGGGATGTCTTTGATGGCCAAATTAAACTAGAAGGAATATTAACCTGAATATCCATAATCCATGCCATGAAAAGATCCACAGTTAACTTGAAAGCCAAACAATCATGACAGAGAATGACTACGTTGTTTTACCCAGTCAGATCCAGTAGGCGATGATGACGAGCGAGTGCAGATCTTCTCTCCCAGCCTGGCTTGAACTATCACCTGGACAGTCTACAGATACAGAAACAGGCTGCTCAAACAATGAGCTGGTTTTACAGAAACAATCCATAGAAAATTGCTGACAAGCCTGTCCAAAATATAACAGGCACTTTTATGAAAGAGACATATGTTGGAAAAGATTGTTTTAATTCCAGTGCTTTGAGCCACACTAATAAAAACCTGGCTTTCCATTGTTTATTTATTTATTCACTTCTGAAGCCTCAAATGTCCATTTAGAAACCTGCAATTACAGATGTATAGAAAAAGTTATGTTAGTGTCTCACCTTAAGTGCAAAGAACTTAATAAACTTGTCTAAGTCCTTTTGATCCTGGGGCTTCAGGTCACTCTCCATATTGTTACAACCCTGCAAGATAGATGATCAATGGAAACTTATTGAGGAAACAAGGGAAATTATTGTGTTATAACACAATAAAAATAATACAGCCCACAACAAATAAGGAGGATAGTTACAGTAAAAGTGTAAAAGCACAGTGAGGGCCCTAAACTGTGGGAGTGCAAAACCTTTACATGTAAAACAATGATAAACACAAAGAAAGTAAAAGATAAGACTGAAATTGCACAAGTAGTGCAAATTACATTAACAAATAAAATAATTAATAAGTAATATGTGCACTATAAATCTAAGAAACAGCTGCAAGAGGGTAAAATACAAAAATACACCTTCTTACAGCTTTTTAAAACAGATTTATGGTGTATACATTCAACCAAACAAGAGTGAGAAACAAAACGTAAACTATTCATGTACATACATGTGCATGCGCAATTACATGTGTTTAAGTAAAAGTGACTGAAAAACCTAAATACTGGGGAAAAGCGGAATTCAACCCCCATTATCTCCCCCATTGTCCACGTGTTGGGGGGTTTTCACTTTCCCATTTCAGGACTACAGTTCCTAAGAAAATATTTCAATTACTTTAACAAAATAAGCATTTTTCACCACACTGGCAACAGTTTAGCGTTTTAACTGAAAAACGTGGACAATATAGTAATAAATAAAAGGAAAACTTTATCACCGTGGTCTTAGCCCTCCAAACAACAGTGGACTACAAAAAAATAATAATAAAAGCAGGCTAGCAGGTTAGGCCTCCACGTTGAAATTGTCCAAATTATAGTTAGAGGTCATGTTAGAAAACAAAAAAAGCCTGACAGCCTTATTACTCTTTACACAACAACCGATGGTAAATTCAAATTCTACAGTACCGTCTTTTTTTGGACAACTACGAAAGGTTTAAGGTTCGCAAAGCCGAATCTGTGAAGCATGAGGATACTGACCCACGGAGCAGCTGCCGTTAGCCTGCAGCTAACACTAGCTGCCCAGCTCAATAACGTACTTTGACTTGATCGCGAAACAACAGTACTTACATTAGCTGTGACCTTAACAACGGAGCTTCAATAAAATGCAAGCCAGTTTAATGCAAGCGAGACCCAGAGCTGTGTCACACAGACATTTTATACGCCCATTTGAGATGTACACAACGTCAGCAGCTGCTGTGCCACTTTTCTGTTTATCTTCTCCATGTCGACGTGTTTGTGTAGCGGCGTGTTCACCGCGGCGTTTTCGTTAAAATACAAAACTGCTACATTTAGAGTAAAAAAAACAAGTTTTTGACAAAATAATCAGGAAGTATTTTTACGCGATTTGAAAAAAAATTATAACCACACTGAACTTATATCTAAAACATAAACGCCAGTCTGTGTGGCGAATCTGCGAATTCAGAGCCGCAGGTTAACGTTAGCTATTTCAATGACTTGTTTTTTGGGTCCATAAATGCTTTATTTTTTTATCTGAAGGTAAGAGTATTGTCCTTAATCGTGCAAAAATTATTTATCAGTGCTTTCAATTCGATTTGCAACTGTCCCACTACTACATGACAGCAAAGTCGTCATCTCAAGTGAGCAAAGAAAAAAAAATAATAATAATAAACGCAAGCTAGGGTAGCACGTTAGCACGCTGGCTTGACTTGGCTCACATGTACTGGAGCTATCCCTAAAGCTAATGATGGCTTGCTGATAATAACGTTTAAAACATCAGGACATTCCCGCCTAGTATTAAACTCTCGGTATTTAATAGGTTCTTGTATACAAAGAACGTGAACGTGGTTTTCCTTATTAGCGAAAATATAATATCAGCAAAATAGCACATTAATAATTGTAGCAATGTTTAGTGGAATAATATATGCTGCAGATTAATCTGTATGTAAAATTCCTCCCAGGTTTGAGGAAATAAGGCTATAGCAAGTATTTAAATTGAGTTGCACTTATTAGCAATTAAAAGGAAACGTTTTCTTATCCTCAGCATGGCCATCCCTATAGCCATCTTGGACTGTGATCTACTCCTGCATGGTCGAGGCCACAAGACCCTTGACCGCTTTGACCTGGACTCAGTCTCAGACAGTTTCCTCATCACGCAATTTGGCTTCCCCAGAGACTTTATCTTGTATCTGGTGGAATTACTCAGAGAGGTTTGTGGGCCTTCATGTCATGTTAAGAGATCAATTTAACTTTGTCTTTATGAAATATGCAAACACTACTCTGTTGTGTTCCAGGGTCTATGCAGGCGAACCCAGCGCTCCAGAGCCATCAGTCCTGAGGTCCAGGTGCTGGCCGCACTGGGTTTCTACACATCAGGTTCATTCCAGACATCTATGGGGGATACGATCGGTATAAGCCAGGCGTCAATGTCGAGATGTGTGTCCAATGTGACGAGAGCCCTGGTGGAGAAAGCACCTCAGTTCATCACGTTCAACAGGTACGATGATGTTATGCCACTTGATGTCAGGCAGGAATGACAAAAAAATTTGAAACTGTAACTTTGTGTTCCCAGAAACTTGTTTTTACTTCAAAAGAAGTAAAAGAAAATCTCACTTGAATAATAATAATGATGTTTTCCAAACAGAGATTTATCCACCGTAGAGCAGTCCTTCCGGGAGTTTCAGAGGGTCGCAGGATTTCCTGGAGTCCTGGGGGTGCTGGACTGTGTTCAGGTTCATTATATGACATTGTGTAATTAGTGTGTGTGTTTATGTGCATGCACGCTCATGCACTCATTTGTTTTTACAGGGGTAACCTAATCATCTCTCTTACTTTAATTTAATTTCCAGGTGGCCATCAAAGCACCAAACAGCGAAGACTCCTCATATGTGAATAAGAAGGGCTTTCACTCTGTGGCCTGTCAGCTGGTTTGTGATCCCCGGGGACTGTTACTTAGCGCAGAAACGCACTGGGCAGGTGGACTCCAAGACACTGTTGTTCTAGAAAGATCTGCTCTTTACAAACAGCTGCAGGACACAGAGCAGGGCTGGCTGCTGGGTGAGCTCTGGACTTTTTATTCCTTATTAGAAGTTAGCTTGTGGCGTTGGAGTCAGAGGTTATAAGTTTTCCGATTTTCAGGTGACAGCCGTTACCCTTTGAGGAAATGGCTGATGACGCCAGTTGACTGCCCAGAATCCCCTGCAGAGTTTCGATACAATCTGGCCCACGCGGCTACACGTGAGATCGTGGATCGAACCTTCAGAGCCATCCAAACCAGATTCAGATGTTTAGATGGCACCAAAGGATACTTACAGGTATGGCAAATGTGTCACAGCCAATAATCAGGCCCAAACATATTAGTAGAAATAAACCATGAGACATTTTTAACCTCCAAACAGTGTATTTATTTGTTCACGTTCTGCCCAGCAGAGTGCCCTCTGGTGGACAAACTAAAAAGCTGAAGGATGTTTCTCCAGTGTCCTCTTTATTTTTTTTATTTATCAGATGTCATAAAAGCCAATACTGATAGATCGGCAAATAGGTGATATCTGCTGATAACATCTGACAATCTGCTGAGTTCACGGTATTAGAATGATACACCATCAGTACCAGAGTCAAACAGGCCACGGTCATAACCGAAAATGAGACCTTTACCTTATTTGTGAGTGAAATATAGCAATGCATCTGGCGTAGTATTGCCAGTAATGAGTTGGTTTTTGCATCTGTAGCCGCTACCCCTCCTCTCCTGTTTACAGTACTCTCCAGAGAGGAGTTCATCCATCCTGCTGGCCTGCTGCGTTCTCCACAACGCCTCCTTGCAGTCTGGATTAGACGCCTGGACTCTGGAAAGAACAGAGCCTCTCGAGCAGCCAAAGAGCCTCAACCAGAGACCCGAGGACCGTGACAGCCAGGCAGAGGATCTTCGAAGGCAGCTCATATTCAAACACTTCAGCTGAAGCTGTGGGGGTTAAAGGGGACGAAGATTGGGACCAGTGCAAAGCTCAATATCACAAGAAACACATTTAAAGCAAGAACGTTCACCGACACGCTGTTGCTGATGCAGTTTTTTAATATTTTGCTGGATTCTACTCTACTGACTATACTAAGATAACATAGATATATTTATGTATGGAGAAACATGCAAGACGCTATACAACAAACCAAGGCGACATATCCATACACATTTCAAATAAGTGAACTCCCTGGAAATGCTTGATTATTCCCTCAGGACATTCAAATAGATTCCAAATCTTCATGGAGTGGTTGGAATAATCAAGCACCTCCTGGTGTTTGACAACTATTCAAACTGTGCAGCTGCTTCGTCATCCAGGTTTCTTTACAAGTTGAAAAAAAAAAATCACCCACCCCATTATTTATTTTTTTAAATCCCACCCCTCTAATTTTCTTTTCCCCATTAGATTCCACAGGTTAAGATCTTGGACTATGTCACAATACAAAAACAAGACCCTTATTTACAACAACTGCACATTAAGTTGTCTTTTTTTTTTTTATGTACATCGGTGCATTAAGACTCACGGGTGAAAATGACAGGCTGCAGTCACATGATTTTCTTCTTTTTTTCTTTTTTTTGGAGCATGTGCGGCATGACGGAACAGTCACAACGTGAAACAGATACAGACGACGTGAGTAAGAAAAGCAGAAAATCTGTGGTAGCTAAATTTTTGGCGCTTAAAATTGATTTTGAAGTGGCAGAACGTTCTTAAAGGATTTAAATAATGAATAAGGCTTTTATTTTGAAGGAATACCGGTCATTAAGGGTGTTTTTTTTCCCACTGTTTCTTGAACCTTGTCAAAAAGTGTTTGTTTTTTTTTGGTCAGTTTTCAATCAAGTTATGTAATTAACAAAACTAGTGGTGTTTTACTGCCTGGAATGTATTAGTCATTTAAATGGCTTCATCAATATATACAAACTTTCTACAAACAGGAATAAATACAACATACACTGCTGTCGCATGACCACATTTTTATATCAGGATTGCTATACTTTTTGTGTAGTTTATTCAAAGTTTACTTTTTACATTTAATTACCAAAAAAATATATATAGAAATTAAACTTTTTTCCCAAATATTTTGTTTTCTTATATTCTGGAGATTATTTTTGGTCAAATTACTGCGAGGAACCCTCAGAGATTTTCATGCGACAGCAGTGGAACATAAACACTGTATTACAGTTAAAAGACAGAAACAGATCATGTCAAAGCTTTACACCTGATGAATCAGCATGTAAAACGTTACATCATCCTAAATGCCAAAACACAACGTAGCACTATTTCCTTGTTTCCTTTTTTTTGTGCATAAAATAAATATGCTCTTTTTTTGATGCTCAGAATATATTATAAGTTGTATTTTTATGCTTTTTTTAAACGTTATTTTTAAAAAAAATGGAGACAATAAGATAAAGTAACTTTTTTTTTGATGCATAAATTAAATATGCTCTTTTTTAATGCTGCAAATATATTACATATACATTTTATAATTTCATAAAAATACTTTTGTCATGTTTCCCCAACCTCTTTATGATCCCTCGGTATGAAAATATGATCTCTCTCCCAAAAGAAACAGAGCAGAATTTTGGTCAGAGCTGGAAAAAATTATTCAATTATTCAAATGTCAGATGCAGATGTAAAAAAGCTGAAGCGTAATGGAAATAATTTTTTTCTTAAAGCCAGATAAAAGATCCACACCCTGTGTTGATTGCGCTAAGCGAAACTTTTTTTGGATCTGTAAGAGAGATCTTTGTCAAACAAGTTGCGACTGTTGTGATCTCAAATGTGTAAAGGAATGTGAAATAAAAAGGTTTCACCCAGATTTAAAAAAAGATGATTCATCCATTTTCTGCAACAGAATAAACAAATCGTTTAGTTCGAGGAACATTTTCAGGCCTGTGTTTCCATGTGGGACTTTAGGTGTAAGGCCAAGTTGGTCATATTCAACTGAGCGAAGTGGAAGGCACTTTCAGAATGGCACGGCTTCCAAAAGCATATGTTGATGCCTAGTTGGTGTTGGTGCTTACACATGCTGTTATCTATTTCACACTTGGCTTAAAAGTGTTTCCTGTTACAAATGTTCCTATTAGGTCAACTGCTCTGCTCCACTCTGTGTGTACAGGAAGGGCTTTCACGTATACGGGGAAACAGAGAGCAGAGGAGAGATGACCTAAAAACACAACAGAGGCTCATACTGCGGAAAAAATACACATTGATGACATATTAAGCAGATGCAGCCCTTCGTGCTTTGTTCACCAACCTAATGTGGCACATCAGGAGCATCTTGGAATAAAAGTACAAGAACTACATGATAAAAACTAGAATCCCACAGTGGACGTCACGTTTTCACTGTTTTTAAATGCACACTGCCTTTTTTTTTACATTTCTTTCAGCCACATTCCCATAATTCTTTCTGTTTGCTCTTGCAAAAAGACCGCGTTGCTTTGCTCTGAACAGGAACGCTACACTTCATTTGTTTTGGGGAGGAATTAAATATATTTCTGGAAACGGGAAACAACTGTTTTAGATGGTCATCTTTAGGGCTGTCTAACAAAGTAACACAAAAGGTCTTTACGCGTGATCACAGCATAAGTGACTCATATATGCCTTTCATTTTGGCAGCTGTGGCTATTTTGTGCTCATGGCCTGTTTAAGCCAATCAAATCTATAAGCTCTGACTGCAGGTTCTTTAAAGTTTAGTAAGGCGACTGTGTTTTTAATGTTTTGTGAGTTATAAACTATTTTTTAATAACTACATATAAAAAAAGATTCGTTGAGTATTTAAAATGATGCAAGATTCTTTTTTGTGCATAACAATGGAGATTCCAGCACGAAGGTCTGTTTAAAATCGAGAATGTTCAAGTACAACAGAGTCTGTCAAAGCAGAGAAGTGACGCTGTAGATAAAGGCATGGTAACAGAGGTGCAGGATGGGAGCCGTAATCTAAGCTCACTAGAGGAGATGATGATAATGGATTTTCTAACAAACTAACAGAAAACGTTTTTTGGTCCAGCTGGATGTTGATTTCAGCAACCTGGAGCATTGGGGTCCTTTGGAGGGATTCAGGGCTGAGAAGTTAGATGAGGAGAGGCTGAGCTGTGTCAGAAAAACTCAGAGTCTCCATCTGGTTTTCTTTCTCTGAGGAGAGGAGAAAGGCAGAGACGGCTGGTTAATGTTTGACAAGTGGCGTGTAAATATTGCAGCATACAGTGGAGTTTGTTTGTACCTCTGCTCTATCTTGGACCCGCTTGTCTGGTTGCTGTGGCCGTCAGCTGTGTATCGGCTGATCTGGTTGTGGGAGTGGCCTTCTGACTGTAGCCTCTCTCCTTCTGATGTCGCTAAACTCTCCTCCAGTGGAGCCTCTTCGTTGTAGAAGAGCAGGCTGCGGGAGCGGACTACGACACAGAAACATGCACCGTTCACTGGACATCCCTTGTGAGCCATCGTTGCTTTTAATTATGTGAAACCAAAAGCTTTTTGTACATATTTCAAAATATCTCCCATTTCGAACAACATCCCAGTTACATTTTTTAGTTCTTTCTCATAGTAAGGGTCAGGGCCTGACTATAAGACCCTGACCCATCAGAAATGATCATATATAAACTTTCCAACAACTGTGAAACAAAGGAAATTCTATGCTGAGTTTAAAGTCAACTGGATGAGCTTTTCTCATATTTTTTGCTAAAAGCTGATTCCTATTGGTTGACTGCTCGGTTCTGTGTTTGGTGGGAGGGGCTTACACACGTGTGGTGAAACAGGGAGCAGAGGAGAAAATCTAATATGACCACAACTCTTAACACTGAATTGAAAACAGTCCAGATACAGAATTCTTGTGACTCCAGTTTTGTTTTTAATTATTAACTTATGTGTTTTCCACTTTTAATTATTTGTATGGGGAACATATAACTGTGCCTTTCTCTCCCTGGACAGTTGCAGAGGAATCTGGTCAATTTTAGGGGGTTAGAGCTTATTAAACCTCACCACTCAGAGGATGGTTGCTGGCAGAAGGAAGTTGCACTTAATTTGATGACAGCCTAACTTCTGGTTTCAGTAGGGCTTTCCCAGGAGTGAGTTGTTAAAGGAAGTGAATTTATAGGGAAGTGCAAAACAGCTCGGAAGGAAAATCAAAACCTGTATCCACTTTCCAAATGGGCTTTCATTTTGAAGAAAATTGTAACAGTATATATGAGAAGATGGAGAAAATTATATTTCTAAAATGTGATGCCGCTCTTTGCTCTGTCTAATAACTGTAAATGCATTGAATGCATTAGACTGGAGCTACAAAAGGAAACTTCAGCAAAGGATAGACACCTTTTGATGATGACAAATCTGCCATAAACACTAAGATGCTAAATACTGAACATATTTCTAGACCTACCCTGACTGGTGGTGTAGAGGTCCGCCGATGGAGAAGAATGAGAAGAGGGGGAGGACTGAGAAGAAGCGGGGGAGGAGGGCAAAGAGGAGGTGTGACTGACCAGGGAGAGGGGAGAAATGCAGGGAGAGAAGGAGCCCAACACCAAGACAAAACACAGGGCCATCATCTGCGGAGAGAGGGGAACATAACACTCGTGTTAATAATAATCACCAGAGCGCTCAGACTGTGATGCTCGTGATGTATTGGGCTCATGCAGACACTTCAAACTTATTGAATTCTGAATTTCAGTGCATATTCCAAATTAAGAAAAGAAAAAAGAACCAAAAAACATTTTTTTAAACTTCTTAGACGGCAAAAGGAAAAAGGAGGAAAAATGGATCCATTCAACAGAGACTGATGGAAAAGAGGAGATGCATGTGATATACTTGCTCCATCATCAATATGAGTTTGCTTGATATGAGTAATATGACCACTACAGTTGTGCTTAGCATACATATAGTGATAGGAGCCAATCATTATCATTGACCGCTTTAAGATGATTTAGCCAAACGAGAATGCATCTTCTAAACTTCAAATGGGAGGCAGGTAGGCTAACATCATAGAGACATATTAATTGTAATATTTATACAGTTATAATATATCCAAATGCTGTCCAAAAGCAAATAAAATCACCTCAATTACAACAAAAATATTAACATAAATGTGTGTGAACAGCAACAGCGGCAGTAGTATTTACCATGAGGCATGTTCCTGTCTGAGTTGAGGCCATTTTACACGAACGGGGGATGACCTTCCCTGAAATCAGCGACTGAAGCTTCTGGAGCTGCTGTAGGAGAGACCTGGAGACAGGAACAGAGGCAGGGATTAAAGAACAAGAAGGGCAGTAGTCATTATTTAGTGTACAGAGAAGACTTTGACTCTCACAGGTTGTGGCCTCAGAGCGTTTGGGAATTTCAATCTCTATAATATGTATATGGCTGCACCCACAACGTGCATGCATGGCTTCGATCTCCACCCAACCCACAACAAAGGTCTCACACACACAAACTCAGACGTACAGTTTGTTTCAGCCGAAAGATGCACGGCTCTCATTATCGGGTTTATTCTACATCAAAGAGAACTCTAACCACCTGATTTACTTTTGTTTTCCGTGTCCAACAAAACAAGCAGAGAGCAAAGCTAAGATGAATAGAGTGCATGAATAAAACCACTAGAAAACAGCACATTAGTGGGATCTGGGGAGCAGGGCTCTGATGGTATGAGCTGTCTGTGGCTGTGAGGACACACTCTGACCACTAAGTGGAGACAGAGATCAAGTTTCTGACACACAAACACACGCGCGCAATGCAAACCAGAAAGTCAGTTAAACGTTTAAAAAGTCAGACGCTTAGTCATCTGTTGCTGCTTTTATAGTTTCAAATTTCCATGCTGAAATCAATGACAGGCCCCAGAATAGAGCAGGGAAACGCGACCTGTCAGCTGTAGTAAACTCGTGTAGGAATGATGCTGACCTGCATCACTCGCACGAGTCTTTGATGTAAAACCTCAAGTTATTGCAGCTTAAAATACACGGCAGTGAGCGAGTAAACGTGTGTGAAAAAAGCAACAAGGACAATGGAAACGATTGTCAGGTAATTAAAATTCAGTGCTGGAAGCTAAGCTAAACGAAACATATCCTAAACGTTTGTCTGATGTGGATATGCAGACGCTAATCCAAATCCAACCCCGAGTGTGAGTTACACAACTAACAAACCGGTAGTCCTAACCAAGTCCTGCGTGGATCCGACTAGACGGAAAGAAAACAGCACAGGGGAACAAAATGACCACTAATAACTGCATCTGGGACACTTTTAGGAACTGGGAGCTTAAATTTAGTGCGTTTGTTTAAAGCCTTTTTTTAAACTCACATTTACTCTTATGAGAGTGAACGGGGCTGCGTGTTGACTCACGTTTCCCAGTTTGCGCCAATTCATTGTTCCTCCCTGCAGTGGTTTAACATATTCATCGGTGTGCATGTGTGTGTGTGTGTGGCTGGAAGGGAGGGGGCTGCCTTCCATGATGAAAGCTGCTGTTAACTCGCCACTTTAATGACAGGCTGAGTGTGCCACAGTCAGACAGACAGACAGACTCTCCTACCCCCTCCTCCTCAGCCATCCAACCCTCCACACCCACCCACCCTTCTAACCACCCACTCCAGGATAATAGCAGATTGGTTTCATATTGTTATAATAACAGAGGAGACAGCGGCACCTCGGTGAGTCTACGCTTTGCTTATAGAGCACAGATAAATTTCACTTCAGACCCCTTTAATTCTCTCACGCTGCATAGATATTAAAATCCCGTAAAGGTTTTACCCACAGAGCGCGTGTGAGTGTGTGTGTGTGTGTGTGCATACGCTTGTGTATAAGCTACAGTCCTGTTTGTAGTTTTGCATCTTCATTCTCTCTGGGTGAAAAATGAGAACCATCTTCGTAAGGCCTTCTGCAGCTCGTCCGGCTCTCAGTTTACCAGGCTGCATTCTTTGCACACTTGCTGCTCTCAGTGATCGCAATCCAAACATCATTACATGAATGGTGGGTTTGTATTACTGGTGTGTGGAGCCAGCATAAAACAGCTTCAGTCTGTTCAAAGCTGGAAGATAAAGTAAAGTATGCTGGCACACGTGTGCGTGCATGTGAGTGAAAACCTCACCTGTTGGCTGTCTCCAGGTGTTCTACTTTTCTCCACAGGTCGCTGTTTTCTGACGTGTAATTCTCCACCCTGATACACACACAGTCAGAGATACACACATTGTTTTTATTGTCTTATCCCTGCATATGTTGCTCTAATGAAAAACAGCGTTATCCCCAAAGGCTGGAGTATCATGAACGGTACATTTTGACCACTAATCCACAACATTTTGACCGGTAATTATCTGTTATTGTTGAGGAGGCACAAAAACTCAAATCTTCTGCCAAGTGAAAAACTTCTTTTTCTTCTCTAGACTGCTCCCTTTCAGGTCAGCTGCTTCCATTTAACCCTATCCCGACACACCAACCCCCTGCATGTCCTTCTACACTACATCCATGGATCCTAAAAGGTTAATTGTGTTCACCTGGACATAGTGTGTTCACTGGGAGAAATGTTTTGTCACTCATCCTAGTGACGTCTTCAGTCTCAGCTGACTGAAGGTTTCTGCAACCTTTTAAACAGTACATGCACAATGAGTGAAACTAGCTCCACTGGAGGACAATGGAAGATGCAACCATGAATCTTCTATGTGGGTTTCCTCTTTTCCTCCTGCCTGGCATCTCTATCTTCAATATACTTTGAGCAATATAGCCACTATCCTGCCTCTGTTTATCCAGACCATCTCAGCTTGGCCTCTGTAGGTGGTTGAAGGTTGTAGTAGGAAGAGTGACTGTGGATCATCAAGTGACAAACTTCATAGCTGACAAATGAAGGCAATGCACAAGTGCCAAAAGCTGCAGTTCCCCTACTAGCCATGGCTGTTGAGCTCCTGAGCTTCCCTTCATTGCTCATTTTAGTGACTGAACTCTTGGTAATCTGATAAATTTGGCTCTCCATCCTTGGATCCAAATATGCCCCAATTAAAGCAATGGGCAGTCATCTTTTAGGTACAGTCTGTAGCTACGACATGATTTAACCTAGCCTAATCAGCTAACCTGACTTAAAAGGAGGTGAACAGCCGATTGCTGATTCATACCAGCTTTTCTAAGTTACTGCGCTAACAGCTGGATCTTTGAAAAAACTACATGATGCAAAACATGAAGGTCCTAATTCAGAACTATGAGGTCAATAAGTTTATCGTAACTGACAAAGCCTCTCAAATTCATTTAACCAGCTCATCATTTCACAAGAAAAGAATCCTTTGCTCGGCTCAGATGTGCTTTAACCACTCCGTGGGTCCCAGTAATGTCAACACCATTTTTTTTTTACTTTGCACAGTGTCAAACTAGCATCTTTGAGAACACAAATCTGTTACAAAGTTTAAGAAAAATGCCTCACTTGCAAGAGTTTCTCCCTACCCCGTTTTCCTCCTCTGTCTGTCTTCTACTAATCCTACTGATCTCCATTATCAGGGTAACGTCTCGCTAATCTCTCGCTTCCTTTAATCCTCCCGATGTCCCGCTGTGTGTTGCTTGGAATATAACTCATTCATGCACACTCCTTTGAGGAAAGCATCCCGCTGTTTTCTTTTTTAAAGGTTCGTCCAATAATCCCCTCCTCATGTCCGAAAAAAAAAAAAATAGAAGGAGATGGATTTCTGTTTTTATGCACGTCCTCTTATGTCTCTGCTGCTTTGGTTGCTTTGATTCAGTTAAAAGAGGCTGCACTCTGACACACCTCTCTCCCCTCGCTCTAATGGGATTAATGGGGCATTTTGTATACCTGTACAAATCTTTGTTGGCACTTGTATTTGTCGCAGTGGAAGCTGTGTAAAAGAAAACCCATATTTTCAACTCTATTTCACTGCCACTGTCAGGAAAGTCAGTGAATCTGGCCCATGTGTTAAGCAGGTTATTGGAGTCCTGCCATAGCAAGGAATGGCTGGAATAATGGAAAGTAGAGAGGAGAGAAAAGCAGTCTCTGTTAAGTTTTGCTGTTCTTCAGTGAATCACAGTGGAGGAGACGAGTGCTGAAGAAATGCTTTGTGCGTTTTGCTTTTTTTAAATTCTCTATCAGACACAAAGATATATATATATATATATATATATATATATATATATATATATATATATATATATAGATAGATAGATAGATAGATAGATAGATAGATAGATAGATAGATAGATAGATAGATAGATAGATAGATAGAGAGAGAGAGAGAGAGAGAGAGAGATAGATATCTATCTATCTATCTATCTATCTCTGACCTCACAAGGACCTGCATTTGCCTCCCATTCACTGGCAGAGCTCTTGCGTCTGTTACTGCGCTCAGCTCCAAAGCAGTTAGGGAAACCTCTAAATGCGAAAAAAAAGAAATCTGGCTCTTGACTAAACTGCAACTACCAAGCTCACTTCAGTGTTTTCTCTTTGGGCCCCTGAATTTTTCTGGGGCTTTTTTCTTTGCCAGTCATGCATGCAATGACCAAAGACAAGATTTTGCATAAAGAGACATGTGGTGAGAGTCATCTTGGGAATAAAACCCTACAAAGCTCTTTAACACTCTCAAATACATTGTAAGGTGAAAGACGTGGAAGATTCTGGTTAGATGTTGCTCTAACTAACCGTTCAAAGGGAGCCTATTGTGCTTGTGCTAATTTTCTGTAATTTACACGATTCTAACATTTCAAATAATAAAACTTTTGGTTTCACATGGCTTTTTCTTTTCTCGGCTCTCTGCGATGTCATAGAGAGGGGATCACATACAGCTCTAGCCATGGCCACAGAAGCCTGGTGCATCTGGCGTTAAAACCTTCTGTTTACAAGGGGAAGCCAATGATTAGAAAGAGAAGGGGAAAGAGAAGTAAAAGGTCTTGTTTTACTCAAAGAGTGAATTGAGGTGCTGCACCAAGGGCTGGCTTAACATTACTAAGGATTATTCTTCCCCCAAAGGGAGGTAGAAGGTAATCGTATCCATTTGTTTGTCTGCCTGTCTGTTTGTTAGGAGTCTAGCGTGCACAGTTTTCACGTTATCATTTTCAAATTTTGTGTGATGGTGGATACCAAAAACAGCTTGAGCTGATTTAATTGTGGTAAAAATCGGGTCAAGGTCACACCATGTGAATCTCATTAAAAACTTTGTATTAGCCACAGCTTCTTATGGATCGTCTTCAAACTTCACAACAATAAACGAGGCCTTGGGGAATATGAGTACCTACTGTAGGTTAGCTAAGTGTTTGACCTTCATTGTTAGGGCTCAAGGTCAAATAAGAATACATTATATTAAAGAGGATGGAGAGAGCAGTTCAATACGACGCCCTGTGATTTCACAGTGACGCCTTAACAGGCTGACGTCATTTTGTAATAAAAACTTCGTAAAAATAAAAGTTTTAGTAAAGCCCTTGCCCTTCGAAGGAAGCTGCACTCTCTGAGTGCTCTTGTTTTGAAATGTGAATCATGCTAAGCCAGTCTAGGAGAGTCATGCACAGCTGCTGGGCTGGCATGACAACAGCAGTCAGCAGTTGAGTCGAGTCAGCAGTTTAAGGTGTGAAAGTCTTCTAAACAATGACAACAATGCTCTTAATATAATTTTAAGGAAACTACAATTCTTATTATTTTTTAAAGGCTTTGGAAAGCACAGACGACAGTTACGAATGTAAACCAAAAGAAATGTGCATGGAGCGGAAAGATAACATTTTTTCCAGCCTTACTTTTTCTCCAGACATTCCACATACTCTTTCTTCTTCCTCCGACTCTCCTGAGCTGAGATCTGGAGAAACGGGCACAAAACCAATCATTGCTCCACCACAAAACCACATTTCTAATTGGAGCAAAATTTTTGGTAAATGTGTTACTATTTCTGTTTGAAATAGTAACACAAGGCAGTCCAAGATTCTGGGAATAGCTCACGTTTTTGTTTTTTTGGTTAATTAAATGTTCAGTTCAGCCGTGCACACTAACAGAAGACAAAAAGGTGCAGTGCCTGCTTACCTTATTTTTGATCTTTCGTCTGACTCTCTTCAGTGCCTTCTCTTCACTCTTCGTGAGAGGAAGTTTGTTAGGTACCGGGTAACCCTCCGCAACCAGGGTCCTCTTCTCTTCTTCTGTCAGCATGAGGGGTCCCGAACCCTGCAGTTTCTGCACAGTGAAACAAGCACTTCATCAGCGCATAATGCTAATAAGCTCTCATAATTCAGTCTCTTATTTATGTCGGTCTGCTTTTAATTTGCATGTTGACAGCGAGCACACCAAAATCTCACATCTCTCTTACATTGCATTACACCCGAGAACAACACTGTTGGAGTTTGTGCGATGGTTTAGCTGTTCACGTGTTTCATTAATAAAAATGAAAAAAAGAAAAAAGAAAAATGTTGCTGACACTGAACAATTGTGAGTAAACAAGATTGGGTCACGATGGCCTCAGTGCAAATGTGATTCATTTATTCTAAGAAAAGCTGCTGAATCAGACAAACAACGTCCAGACGGACGGATTTTCTGACTTTCTGTTCTTTCAGCAAATTATGGGATGTATTTAACCCCAAATTAAGCTGATTTACAGATCAAAAATCCCAACTCTACAGTGTCTGCTTTCACAACAGAAGGGCAGCCTATGAAACTCACAGCGCTATATAAGGACACAGTCATTTGAACATTTCTTATAGCAAACACCAAACCACTGACACATTAAATCCCCCACATGCGCTGCAGAACGGGCACGGAGAGGGAAAAAAACAACAGAGGGCACAGAGGGTAGGGGCTCTTTAACTCACATGCGGCGCGGTGAGGAGGGGCGAAGAGGAGATGGCCGAAGAAGATGAGGATGAGGACGAGGCGCGACCTCCTGGCCTCTGTTGTGGTTGAGGGGAAGACGGCGGCAGAGGGAGGTGTGGGGAGGAGGGGGGCAGTGAGCCATCACTGTCGCCGTGGTTACTGCTGGGAGGGGTGGGCGGCAGCTGGAGAGCATCATCTAAAAAGGAGCGCAGCACGTGAAAGGAATCAGTGCTTCTACTTTAAACAAATGACCACTGAAGATATTCATAGCTAATGTAAGTCCATTCTCCCAGACCCCAAATATTATACTGCTGTGATTATTGTGGCATATGCAGAGACAGCTCGGCGAGTATTTTTGCCCTGATTATGGTCTGCAAGGTAGTAGTGCCTCTAACGCTGGGGTGGTTAAGCCCTCATCATATTTAAAGTGAAGGCTTTTGTTCCAACAGATGTTTGAGGTAATTTATTTTGTAATACTTTAGGTGAAAATGTGCACTAACTAACTCATTCAGCTGCTCACTTCCTTCACAAGGGGTCACCACAATGGGTGGATCCACATATTTGATTTGGCACAGATTTTTTAGACCAGATGACCTTCCTGACTCAGCCCTCCCAGGGATTTGTGTCTCCTTCTGGTTTCAAACCAGGGATGTTAGGTAAATGTCTTAACCACTACACTAGGAAGCCACTTCTAACATTAAAATAATCTGAGTCAGACAAACCACTATAGCACTGTGAGTGTGTCTGTTACCGCTGGGCAGGCTGAGGTACTGTCCAATCTCTCTGGGTTCATCTTTTATAGCAATGAGCTTCATATCCTCTTGACTGCACTCCTGTAGAAACAACAAACGTACCTGACATCAAAAACACCACTCATTTTATTTTTTTAAATGTTTCATCACTGAGGCAAAGGACAGATGGATGCTAACCGTGTGTTTCCATGGTGAGCCTCTGTGTGGAGGGGCAGGGCTTAATATGAGAGGCGGGGCTTCCAAAGGCTGAGGATCTAACCTTTGGCCAACATCAGGCTCCTCCTGCTTCACCAAGATAGCTGACAGGTCCTGGCTGAAGCTCCACTCAAACTCTACAGAAAAGACACCACAGACACAGGCAGGGTCACAAGGGGCTGGAGTCTATCCCATTTATCACATGGTGAGAGGTAGAATACACCCGGGACAGACTGCCAATCTGTCGCAGGCGAACACATAGTGACAGGCAACCATTAACACCTACGGCCAATACTGAATCACCAACTAACCTAAACCCAAGGCATCTCTTTGGACTGTGGGAGGAAGCCAGAGTACCTGGAGAGAATATTTCACACAGAAAGGCCGTCTTCCTGTGAAAGAACGATGCTAACCACCACACGATCATGCTCCCCCAAAGTCATCCTCAGCTTTCTTATACTGAAGTATTTAATCTGAACCAAATGGTTTGATGTGTGAGAACAACAAAAACACAAAGAAAAAGCTAAAGCAGAGCAAAAAACTGCAGAAATACCTGCAGATGTTTTCCATGTGTCACAAGGGGAAGGGGGGGAACGGGCAATCACATTGTTTTGATGTCATAGCAGTGCAACATGGGAACACCGTCCCATCTACACAAACCCTGGCAAACCCTAACCCTAACCCCCATGACTCCAATACAACCATATACATACAACCACGATTGTACCCCGACTATATGGCCCTGACTTTTGCATTCACAATTAAAGGCCACAGTGTTATTGTGTATTGGAACAGACAATCCCAACTTAAGGTTCAATCGCTAACTCCTTCTTTCAACTATCAAATGAAATACCAGTGGCAATAATGAAAAACCACCAGCAACAACAAAAAGTCTCAAGAATTCAAGAAAAGTGTTCCTATTCTTTAGAAAAGAAGGTTCTAGTTAACTGAGAAACTTGAGCAAAGTTGACCTTATTTCTCTTCAGGGAGGCTTTGCTGTAGGTCTTCCAACGGGAAGTAATTGACAGCTTCCAAATCACACTTTGAAGGAGCTCAAAATATCTGAGCTCTTCCTGACAAGGCTGGACAATGTCGTTCTGGCAACTGCGGTGCATAATTTCCCTCCAGCTGGTGTATATACCCTGAAATAAAAGATGGGCTGAACCAGCAACTCGCCCTCATTATGCTTCCTGGGAAGAGAAACAGTCGCCGCCTTTAAACACTGAAAATATGCATAATCGAGTGACCCGGCAATGAGGCGAGAGTGCAATTTCAAAGGAGGGTTCACCTAAACACGATGTGGGTATATTTCTAGAGGAGCACAGGTAAATCGTTGTTTAGTCTGCTTTGAAATCCAGAAAGTATTTTTAGGAAGTTTTAGTGTGTCTGCAGAGATGCCAGTGCATCCAACCTCCTGAAACGACCTGAGGCAAGACAAAGCTGACAAGGCCTGACTAACATCGTGCTGCTTGTTAGTGACTGATGACAGCTAATGAGGAACTTCTTTCTTTCCACTCTGACAAGCCTCATATCTTTGCTGGACTGTTTCTTTTGTCTAAAACTTCTTAAACAGTGGCATGAAAGCAGCATTCAAACCTCTGAGACTGTTTTAACTAAACATTGAAGATTTTGAGTGATCTTAAGAAAAGGGGCTTGACAAGACTGTCTTCAGACGACAAGAAAAAATTCACTGGAAGCTTTGTTAGATACTGCCATGACTCATGAGGGGTGCTGAGTCAGAAGGATCCTGGGAAGAGAAGAACGACGAGTGGAAAGGATAAATAGATAAACAGCTGTAACCTCATCGACCTGTTCCTCACGTTTTCACCCCCGGGACCAGATTTCACATTCTTACCGGTACCTGAAGCAAGACGATCTAAAATAGACGTTGACTTTTATTTTTTTAAAGCCTTTTCTAAGCACAAGTTCTGCTAACTCCCACACAGCACAGTAGCCCTCTGGAGATATTTTGTCCCTGAAAGAGGGTCGGAGGAAAATCCACAAGAAAGTGTCGTGTCTCCTGAAGCCTGTCTCACAAAACAAAATGACCAAGTTAGCTGGATAACTGCACAGAACAAAACCTCAAACAGCTGTTTTGTTTTGTTACAGATTTGGTTGGTTCCAGATTTTCCAAGCTGCTCTATCCAACTAACAAGATTCCTGTTTGCGAGTCAGAATCCAGATGCTGCAATCAACAGCGTCATCTAATCCATAGATACATTACTCGGTGGTCTTTTTCTTGCAACTCAACTCTGACCTTTCCAAATAGGTGGCTTTAAAGTAGCGTTCCACCAATTTTGCACATGGAGTTCAGTTTACTCTGCATTAGAGGCAATTGTGCCAGATTCATCTCAGAAGTGTGTGTGTGTGTGTGTGTGTGTGTGTGTGTGTGTGTGTGTGTGTGTGTGTGTGTGTGTGTGTGTGTGTGTGTGGGCAAACGTTTAAATGGAAAACATTGAGGTGGTACTTAAATATAACGGAAAACCAAACAAAACCCGAGTCAAGCCAAGTTGAGGCACTGGTTAAAAGAAACTGTCCTTGAAAGTGGTGTGCAATAATTTATAAGTCATGTGACACTGTGGTTGATGAAAGAGAAATCCAATCGTCAATTGAATGTTTAGATTGAAAAAAAAAAATGGAGCCACTCAATCAATCCACTGTCTTCTGTTTCTCTCATTCACAATTGTATGGCAAGTTGGCAGCTAACACAGGGTGAGAGGCGAGGTACACGCCCGACAGATGGCCGATCTGATGCTAACACAGAGAGACAAACAACCATTCGCACTCACATTAACACCTATGGGCAATTTAGAATCACCAGTTAACCTAACCCCACTAAGTGCATGTCTTTGAACTGTGGGAGGAAGCCGAGTACCTGGAGAGAACCCACACAGTCACTGGAAGAATGCCAACTACACATGCCAAATGCCACACCTCAGCTTATGAAGGAGAGAAAGAAAGAAAGAAAGAAAGAAAGAAAGAAAGAAAGAAAGAAAGAAAGAAAGAAAGAAAGAAAGAAAGAAAGAAAGAAAGAAAAGTTTTGTCGCCTTTTATTTCACCTAATGTCTCAGAATGGATGCATTGGTGACAGCAACCTCCTGGCCTCCCTAGTTCTCAGGAGGCTGATCAGTGCTTAGGAAGTATTTCTTAGCCTTAGAAGACAGGTCCTAGTTGTGGCTTCTTCCTTTATCTTCACCTCTGCACCTGCCCGCACCATCTTGTGCCTCTTTAACTTTGTCTCCAAACTGCTCAAACCTGAACTGTCCCTCTAATGTACCTATTTCTGAATCTACTCCTAAGAGTGAGTGAAGGTCTAAAAGTTAAAGTCTAAAAGGCTCCGCGAGCTTTCAAATGGAAATTTTCAATACAACTGTCCTGTTTATTTGAACAGCGCTTATAACCCTGGGACATACGAGTATGTCTAACCAGAATTAAAGGGTCAGCTGCACATGCTTTGAATTAAGGCCCTTTAAAGGTGAGCTGCTCCACGGGGCATAATTAGGCAAAAGTCACGCATTAAAAGTTTTCTTCCTACAACGTTAAAAGCGAAACCACGACACAACTTTTAAAGAGTTAACTGCGGGCAGACAGGGAGGAGTGAGGATGTTTCATTATGTCAGCACTGACACACGGACGCCACGCCAGTGACTTTGATGTTTGTCGCATCAAACACGCATCCTAAAGGCTCCCCTGGTGCATTGAAAGAGGGCTTTTGCTTTTTCGTGCATGCGTCTGTGTGTGTGAACGTCACGTTAATCACATCCTGGTTTCCTAGCAACATTGTGCTGGTAAAAAACGGACTGAAGTTTACAAGCCGTGAGTGTGTGCGTGATTGGTGAGAGCAAAGAGGGGGGACGGAGGTGTATTCCCAATCAGACAGCTGCTTGCGTGCTTTTGTGTCTGTATCCTGTCCATCACTACAGCAGAGAGAGAATAAATCACATGGCTGCTGACTTTGGGCGTGTGGGTAACGCCCAAAGTCAGCAGCCATGTGAGGAATAAACACCTCAGGGCAGTGAAAAACAATGATAAGAAGCATTATGAGCTACAATATATCTAAATCTACTTGCTGCTGATTATTTGAACCCAATAGTTCAATCACAGTGGGCACAAACATGGATAGCCATTTGCTTCTGAAATCACAAGGGTCTCTCAACCCTATAAAAATCTGCCTTTTAGCCTATACTTGACTGAATGTTCAAAGCGATGCAGGCAATAGAGGGACGAATTATTGCCATCAATGGACTGTGCATTATCTGAGTTTGTACATCAGTAGGTAGTACATGAGCGTAGAAAATTGGGCTTAATAAGTCCAACCGCAGCACTTCCCCCTTGAGCTGGAAGAGCTTAAGTCCAAGGCTGCAGCTAACAATCGCTGCGCTTTTATTCCTAATTTATTCAATTATTCTACACAAAAAAGGTCCTTAGGTCTGCGAATTGATGAAAAACATCCCTGTTATTACTTCCTGAAGGTTGAGGTGACATCTCAAAATATCTTGTTTTGTCCCATCAACAGGCCCCCAACTCCTCAAAAGTCAGAAAAAAACAGTTAAAAGCAGGAAATCCTAACATTTTTTGGTTTTTATCTGACTGCAGTGAAGCAAAAAGCAAATGCCTAATCAGTTAATCGCATTTTTCCACGCCACGGCATCACTGTAATAGACGTCCCTTTAGCAAGCGTAACTGCCATAGAAGTGATGATAATGATAATGTAGCTGGATAAAAACCTCCACTGGCAGTGCGAGGACCCCACCCCAAACAGCTCATTAGTCCCACTTCAGTATTTTTTTCCATGCTGCCCCGACTCCTGCATGATCTTACACTCATTACGGCTCAGCTACCTGTGAAAAATATCATTCGCCGCTAATGTTGCTGATTAGCAACGTGAGCCTGAAATGTTTTAGGAAATCAACGAGCGCACAAAAGGCATCAGGAGGAAGACAGGAATCCAGTTTTGGGGGTGGATCCGACATTTACCTATGCCACACATCCTGCCTATCAGAAAGAGTCCTCTCCTTAATGAGGCCAGTCCTGCTGCTCGCCTGAGTCTCGTTAAGCCTCCTGCCCTCGTTAAGTCCTCTAACACTGTTTTTTTTAATGAATACCAGAAGCTCTTAGCTGTTAGCCAATGCATAAG